TGCATACGCTATCCAACGTATCATTTTTTACCGTCGACGTAAGCATCGCCATATGCTAATATCTGTCGGAAGACGTTACCCATCCTTCTCGACAGCATCAAGCCGATGACGATGGCGTAGAAAAAGAATAATTTAAATAAAATAAAAAACCATAATAGATTTGTATTGTCTGATTATTTTAACTTCGTAAAAATAACAAAGAAAAAATGTTGGATATTGAAAGTTGAATGAAGGTGATGATGAAAAAGTTGATGAAACGATAGACGAAACACATAATATGTACGCATACAAATTATTTTATGTTTTCACAATAACTTTATTGATTCGTTTAAATCTCAGTAAAGAAATGAATGAACGAAAGTTGGGATCTAAATATCATATGTATCGGGCTGTAGAAGACGGTTTAAAATAGAGGTCGAGTCGTTGGCCATATTCCACCGGTTTCTGTCTGGCCGGAGATACGTCCTTCTCCGAACGAAGCTGCAGTCCGATCGGCGTCGATGTTCAACACGAACCCGATACGGGCCTGATCCGGCTGGCAAACGTACAGATCGAATCGAACGGTGTTCGCATCGTAGCGGTACTCGACGCTGGTGTTGCACCTATCGTCTCCGTCTATGTACCAATTGTTTGCGAATTAAAGATTTTGCTTGTGCCTTTGCTTCGTTTTCTTTTCGTCTACGGGATGCTTGGTGCTGCACGTTTTTATCACGTGAACGAGTCGCAATGGCTTTGTAAATTCGAAGACGGCGTGATAAGTGTGTTTCTCTGGGTCGTCGATAGAGAATATGTAAGCAAATGTTATCATGGCGTACAGACGTTGACGTTTTTTGTCCGAATTGACGATGACGAATTTCCAAATTCTCAGAAAATCGAAAAACGGTATCGACGTGTCGGCGAATTCCGGTGGCGTCGGCAGGTCGTTTATGAAGTCGGACAATGTTATCCGGCACGGAAAACAGTAATAACCCATCATTAAAAACTGCATGTGCAGCACGTTCTCATCGTGCCCCCACGCCTTTAATTGCTTATAACGTGGGTTGGTGGGACGGTATCCGTCGAGGACGGGAGCGGCGAAGTTTCCAAAAAGAAACGGTTCGCATATGGCTAGAAACCTTAACCACGGGTCGCCGGATATTCTGAAAGATTCGTAGGAATGTACAAGTAATTCTGCAAACTTGTTGATTTTCCTCACGTCGAAGCATTCCAATCGTTCACTTAATGCAGCCCAAGCGACGGATTCCAATTTGGTCGTTACGAGGTCGTCGGCCAAAAGAAAGGAAAGTACGGAAGCTACGTACACGTAAGTGTTCAAATCGGGAAACTCCAAGTCGATTATGGGATTGTCGACCAATTTCAAAGCAACTTCTGCCGCCTTTCTTTCGAAGATCGGAAGGACGGCGTCCAGATTCAGTTCAATTACGTGTTCTCGGGGCAGGCCTAGATCTTCTTGCTGCGAAAGAATGCCGACGTTTTTCGTCAGTTCATCTAAACTGCTACTTGAAACGTACGATGTTTTTTGGTTATTCAACAAGACACGGAATTCAACACGTTTTTCCATTTCTATCTCATTAAAATAAAATGATATTTTCATTTACGTCCATGCTTATACGTTCGATGACGTACGTCATCGGGTCTTATACAATAATGGAGATCTTCCTCTGCTCCTCCTTCTTTTTCTTCTTCTCGTTATCGTGGTGGTCGTCGTCGTCGCCGTCGGCGGTGAGTCGCTTCATCGCGTACGCCAACAGCACCCCGTTGCCGAAGCCGACGGCCGACAGGAAGCAGTAGTGCACCACCGCAGGAACGGAATCNNCCGTCTCGCGCTCCTGTTCGCCGATCTCATGTCGATCGTCGTCGAAACCAGCGTGGAACAGCACGTTCGTTACCGTAGAGGACGAGATCGGTAACGGTCCGTGGTAGATCCAAGCCACGCACGATTCGAGCGCTCGCTCGTAAACGAACGTCATCATTCGGTCCCCTCTCCTGACCAGAAAGCGACGGTCGTCGTAGAGAAAGCAGAGCCCGTCCGCGTCCGGCATACCGTCCACGTCGCCCCTGTTGATGATGCGAGAGAAGCCGCCTCCCCCCGAATCGGGCATGGCTAGAAATACGTGCCAGGTGAGTAGACATTTGTACAGGCTTGTCAGGTCGTCTTCGACGTTCGTCTTCAGAGTCACGCCCTTCAGTCCGTCGACGTAATCGCAAACGCTCTCGGCGGGCACTTCGCACGCTTCCATCCATGTTCGGAAGGCGGTCTCGTGTCTCGTCGTCGACGCGTCCCTCACCACCGATATCGGATCGACCACCAAACGGAAGAACGAGGCCATCGCTGCCCGTCTCTGATCGCGCCTGTCCGGATTGGCCAACATCGACTCCAGCAGATTTCGGGACCATTTTTCTAGAAGGATGGAAAGTTCGGCACTCAGGTCGTCCCTGCATTCTTCGCGCGCTCTCGAGAGGTCCGTTTGCAATGCGGCTATCTCGTCTTTGAGAGTGGTCGCCTCGCGTCCTTTGTTAGCGAGCTGCACCCCCAATCCTTTTATTTTCCGTCCGTCACGTTCCTTCCCTTCTTTGAGGACGACGATCTCGTCTTCGAGACCGGCCGCCTCTCGAATCTTCTTCGCGATCGTAGCGTCCAACTCTTTCATCCTCTTCACGTTTCTTTCAATCTCTTCTTTGTAGGCCGTCATTTGATCGTCAATATCACTTCCGTTCCGTTTCATTTTCTCTTCCAGGGTGTCGATTTCGTTCCGCAAGTCGATAGCCGTGCGATCTTTATCGGAAAGCTGCTTTTCCATCCTCCTACTCTCCTTTTCGTTCTCATCCTTCAGGGCGGTTAATTGTTCGACATCCTTGATCAGCGAAGACTCCTTTCGAGTGGCCTCAGCCAGCTTTTCCTTAAGATCGGCAATCTCAGTTCGGAGAATGTCGGTCCTGTCGGAGTGATCGGCCTAAGCCGTTTCCAGATCTGATATCGCCTTCGCCTTGTCGGACTCGACGGAAGAACGAAACTCGCGAAGGTTCGCTTCGTGATTCTTCTCTGTTACGTCCAACCACTCCTTCAGACTCTCGACCTCCCTCTCGCTCTCTTCCAACTTCTTCGCCGACCGTCGTTCCCTGTCTTTGGCAGTCTCCAATTCGCGAGTCGCCAGTCGCAGATCCTCTTTGATCTTTTCGAGAATTGCCGAACGTCGGGCGTCGCCGTCGATGCGTTCCTTGGAAGCCGTTGCCCCCTTTTCCCTTTCGGCACGAAGTTCGTCTCTGAGGGAGGCGATCTCCTTGTTCGCGTTGGCAGTCGAGCGACCTTTTTCATCCAACCGTTCCTTCAGACTCTCCACCTGCTTCTCGGTCTCTTCCAGCTTCGTCGCCGACCGTCGTTGGAGGTCCTTTGCAGCCGCCGCTTCCCGGTTCGCCAGTCGCAATTCGTCTTTCATCTTCTCGAGCGTCACCGAACTTCGGGCGTCGTCGTCGCTGCGTTCCTTCACGGCTGTTGCCACCTTGTCCTTTTCGGCACGAAGTTCGTCTCTGAGAGTGGCGATTTCCTTCTTCAGGTTGGACGTCGATCGATCTTTGTCCGAAATCAGTCTGTCTCTGTCGACGAGCGTCCGTTTCGACGCGCGAAGTTCGTCGTCGATACTTTCGATCCTCCTGGCGTTCGCTTCCACCTCCTCCTTCAGGTTCCTGTTCTCTCGAAGAACCTCCTAATGACGCGTTTGGTCCTTTTTCAGGTCCTCGATCGCACTCTTCAATCGCATAACCGTCTTCCGTTCCTCCTCCAGATCGGATTGCGCTCGCCGCAACTCCTCCTTCTCTCCGATGCTCACTTCCATTTCGTAGACTCTTCGGGTTGCCGTCTTAACAGTTCTCGCTGCAATTCGACGTTCTTGTCGGCCATGGATTGCGCGTGCTCGTCTGCCTTTTTCGCGGCCGCCTCCACAATCCGTCTGCTTTTCACTTCCTCGTTGTATCGCTTGCAAGCCGTTTTCAAGTTTTCTTCCAAGACGTTCACCCGCTTTTCGTACATGGACATCGCGGTCTTGGCGAGCGTCGACTCTTTCTTCAGCGCACTAATTTTGTCGTCTTTCTCTTCCAACTCCTCTTCCAAGTCGGCGTGCGATCTCTCTCGGTCTTTCAGTTTGCGGACGGCTTCCTGCAGCTTTTGCTGCAGCTCGAGTCCGCTCTCTTCAGGTGGCGGCTGCTTCGACTTTCTCCACGCGGCTTTCAGATCCGATTCCAAGCGAACCACGTCCAGATCCCTTTCCTTCAGGGCATCCGTCTTGGAAGCGAGTTCGGTCTTGAGACGTTCGACCTCTTCCTCCGCGATGCTGCGAACGTCGGAAGATTCTCTCAACGCGGACATCTTCGCCTCGTGTATTTCGTCTTTTAATTTCTGTATGACGACTCTGGCTTCGGTCAGTTTTCGTTCCTTTTCCGCAAGTTTGTCCTGCACCTCGTTCAGCTTCTGGTTGCCCAGTTCCAACGTACGTTCGTCCTCCTTCGCCGATTCTCGACGGTGAGCATCGAGATCTTCCAGCGGGACGGACTTGGGAGTCGCCGGCGTCGAAGACGACGTGGGTCTCGCGTACGTCTCAGGTTCGTCTGGGACTCGTCGACCGTCTTGAGACGGATCCCACTCCAGATC